AGGTGTGATAAGGAATAGGATTTACCGAGCATTTATTATGTTCCAGGCACTCTTCTGAGCTCTAGGGATACAGGAGTGAACAAAACAGATGAAGTCTCTTCCATCATATGAGAAAGGGAAGCCAAGGAAAAATATCAAATAGTGAGAAGTACATTACAGAGAATTAAAATTAAGAATGATGTCTCTGGGCCGGCCCCATGGCTTAGCGGTTAAGTGCGCGCGCTCCGCTGCTGGCGGCCCGGGTTCGGATCCCGGGCGCGCACTGACCACCGCTTCTCCGGCCATGCTGAGGCTGCGTCCCACATACAGCAACTAGAAGGATGTGCAGCTGTGACATACAACTATCTACTGGGGTTTTGGGGGGAAAACAAATAAATAAATAAAATCTTTAAAAAAAAAGAATGATGTGTCTGAGGGCCACTTGGATTGAGTAGGAAGAAAAGGCCTTTCTAAGGAGGCTAAGTTTAAGATGAGAACTTAAAAGACAATCAAAAGGAAGAAACTACCCAAACAGCAGTATAGAGAGCTTTCCAGGCAGAAGAAATAGCTGCTACAGAGAGCCTAAATGAAAACAAAATTATGTCTTAAGGAACCAAAGAAAGTTAGCGTGGGTGGGGAGAGGAGTATTCCATGAGGAGAAGAGGGAGGCAGGCAAGAGCCAGGTGACTTGTGGTCATCCAAGGGAGGGGACTGTGGATTTTATGCTAAAAGTAATGAAGGTTCACAAGAAAGTGACATGATCTGACTTACATTTTTATAAAATTCTTCTCACTGCTGGGCAGAGAACAGACTGCAGTGAGTCAAGAATGTGAAGACAAGAAACCAGGCTATTTCAGTAGTTTAGACCAGAGATGAAAGTGCCTTAGACTAGGCGGGTAGGAGTACAGCTGGAAAAAAACAGCCAGATTTTGGTATATGTTTTTGGAGATGGAGTAGAAAGGATTTACAAACAAACTGAATAAAAAGGGTAAAGTCATGAGGAATAACCTCCATATTTTTAGCTTGAGTAGCTGGAAGAATAATGGTTTAGTTTATTGAGATGGAGAAGATTTAGGGAGGCACATATTTGGGATAGGGACAGGATTAGAAAATAAGAGTTCTGTTTTGGTCAGGTTACTTTGAGATGCCCATCTTATATATCCACTCGGAAATGTTCAGTAGGCACCTGGATCAGAATCAGGAATTCTGGGGAGTTCTTATTCTTTCTCTGGTTTCACAGAAGACTGAAGATAAAGAAAACAGCAAAAGGAAAATAGCTTTTAGGATGCACAACATCAGTATTCTGTAACAATCTAAAGTAGTGAGACAAGTCATTGTACTCTTCATGAAATCATGTCACTTATAAAATCTGAAGCATTATCTTTGCTGAGGATAATGACACAGAAAGAGAGTAAGCTTTAAGGTCAATGAGATTCATGCCAAGGGAGTTAAGCCATATCATATGGCCTCTATTTCCTAAATCTTATAAGATTATAGGGCAGGACCCAGTAAGAAGAGATCAGAGCTCCGAGCAGGATACAATTTATAAGTGCTTCTGAAAATTCCATCCTACTTCAAAGGAATTCATTGCATACCCATTGTAAGACAAAAATATCTTCTAACTATACATAAAATAATGACTGCTCTCCCTGCTGTCAGACAGAAATTTCCATGGAAACTGTCAGAAACAATTTCTTTAGACTTGTAGTGATTATTGATAATGAAATAGACTTAGAGTAAAATGAGAGCTAGACTCTGGGTAATCTGATTCCAGCTAATTGTATTCTAGCACGACAAGTTTTCTTCATCAAATGGCTCCTTTGAGCATAGATATCAAAATGAAGAGAAAGGCAACCATGTCTGTTTTCGTATAAGTCCTACTCTTAAATATTTATCAGCAATATTGTAAAAGATACATTTTTAGGAAGGATAAGATATAAAATTTATTGGGAAGCTACTAAATATCAAGTGTTTTGCATACAACATCTTATTTAATCCTCACAATAATCCCTCCAGGTAGGTTTTATTACCCTTATTTCACAGAGAAAGAAACTAAGTCTCAAAGATATAAAGTAACTTGCTCAAGATCAAACAGGTAGTAAACAACGGAGCCAGATTAGATTCAGGTATAGCTGAAAACAAATGAGTACTTTTCCCTTAGGCTCTAAAAGGAGGCCACAACCCACCACAGTCCAGGAGGCTCAGGCCTATCATCTCTTTAAGCCACAAGAACCTTTTTGATTACTTCAGCGTTAAATTAGGCTGAAAACAAGGCTGCTATATAAATGCCTAAAAAAGAAGACATTGTCAGTCATGTAAAATAAAAAGTGGAGTTTTGCCCAGAATATACAACAAAACTTTACCACGTATTGATATGCCCATCAAACCAAATTAATCAAAGCAAATTAATCAAAGAACCTAAAAAGAAATAAGTAAAGGAAAAAACTCAAGGCACATGCTGATAAACACACTTAGATGCTGATAAACTTACAGAGCCAAGATAGAGATAAGCTCATGATTCATTTGAAGGAGTAATTTTTAAAATTATCTTATCATCTATGAATAAAAGTGAAAATGCCAAGACATTCCTTACCTCATCACAAAATGCTACACCTACTATAAATAATTGAACTGTAATGCCAATGTGACTGCTATAGCTGACCAACTCTGCTAACCTAATATACTATATAACTGTAGTAGTCAAATGAGAAATGAAAGCAATCTGAGGTACTGGATGCTACACTCCTTCCCTAATAATTAGCTAATTCATTTTGGTTGTGGAATTTGCCTATAAGTTTATTGCTTGTACATTTTACTTCAAGGTTCTTTAAAGAAAAACCTGGACATCCAGATCTCTTTTTGGATTTATGCAGTCAAAACAAAAGAAATTATATTCAACCACAGCACATCCTGACACATTAGCAGTCAGAACACAACTCAAGCATGCACACACAGAAATGCAGAACACACACTAAATTCAATAAACAGCAGAAATGAAGAAAAAACAGCAGAAACAAATCCAAGAGGAATAAAGAGGGTTAAAATGCATAAAACATGCTAGGTACTTTGGAAACTAATTTTCCATAATCAAGAACTAGCTTTCATTTTTGGTAACACTGGATAGTTTCTAGCCAAAAATACCAGGGAAAAGCTCTGCTGTGAACCCAGCACATGCTTTAAAATGACTGTCAAATGAAATTACACCATAAAACACTCTCCTACAACAATAATGTCCAAGGAACTACAACAGGGGAAAACAAATCATTTCCAACATAACTGCAGTATTTCTAAATTTGTAAATAAACTACAAATGCAAATCACTCTGAGTATTTTAACAGATAAAAGTTTTAAGTATTTCTTTATAGTCATTACTAAGTTTTGGTTAGAGGAACCCAAAAGTGTAAATATTGAAAGCAGATTTTAAGGAATCAGTCTTCAAAATGGCTTGAACAATGAAGTTTGGTATTTTTCTATTTTGTTTCTTGGTGCATTCTATTTTGATTTAATAACATGGTACTGGAAAAGCTTTTTGTATATGTCTTCAAATACTTTATGTAATGTTAAAGCACAGTTCTTAGGTTTTGAAATTTTCAGGACTATTGGTGCATAAAAGCATATCTTTAGCATTCTATTTCCCCATAACTGCTGAATGACTTTGCTAGTGCTGAAAACCCACTAAGCCCTTATTACGAAAGCCCAGATGGAAAACAGAGTCTGTCGCTTAAAAGAAGAAAAGACAGCCTAAAGATTTATGTCTTCTTGGTTCTCTTAGTTCAAAGATTAAATCAGAAATCATTGGTAATGTTACATAAACTATTTTGTCATTTAGCAGATGACAACTAAAGGATCATTTTCACTCCTTAAAGTATAAGCTTTGTTTTCTCCTGTTTAATTGTATCCTTCCTTAAGCTATTTCCTATTTCTTTTCTTTAAGATTTTCCTCCTCCATCTTGCCAAAAAGAGGACTTGAAATATAAATGGAAATAAAGTGGGGAACCACTTCTGAATGCTTATGGTGAAGCCAAAAGAGTTTTCACTGTCACTGTTTGCGCTGGCTCATCTCACATTTACCTATTAATGAGTTCTGAGGCTTTAATATTCTGCTTAAGGCCTTTTAGAGACAAAGCAGCCTCTTGCCAACAGCCTTCCCCGAGTGTTCAGACACAGAACAGGTTTTAAATGGTCCAAAGTGGGTTACAACTAGCAGAAAAAAGCCCTGAAGACTTCAGTCTTCACTTCAGCTCCATGGCCACTAAACAAAGCCCTTTTCTTCTTCTGTAAAGCAAGACTGGGTACATCCAAAGGCCCCAGTTCCTAATGGGAATCCATACATGGTCTTTCCTGGATGCAGGAATCTCCTCAAAGTTGTCTTTAAAATCCTGGGCATTCATCTGGGGAGCAATTCCACAGCTATCATCCAGCTCACAAAGGGTCCCACCAATACGACAGTCTAAGAGCCACTGTGCCAACATCTCCTCCAGCCCTTACACCAGGAAGCCATGGGATGGAAGACAAAGCACATGGCCTTGAAACATAATAGTCTCAGGACCTGGGGCAAAATGCTTCAGCTCTGTGAGCTTCCCTTTCCTGTCTATGAAAATGTATATAAAAATATCTACATCATAGGGAGTTGTTGAAGAGTAAATAATTGGGACGCTGACCAAAAATTTCTAATTCATAAAAGTTATTTCCATTATGCATGAAGACAAAAATCATTTAAGAAGTTTTTTAGGTATCCAGTTGACAAGTGAGGCTCCCAGACACTGAGAAACTACCCCTGGTCAAACAGAGCGAGTGTCAAGGCAGGGGTTTCACTCTGAGCTTCTCATGCCCCACTTAACAACACAACAGGCCACATTCAGCATACTGTGCAAACTTGAGCCTAACAACAGCAGAAATGGTGCTCAGGCTTGGGCCCAAAAGAGGAAATAAAACCAAAATGATATCATATGGTGACATCAACCTTCAGAAACAAAGGTATTTAAAATTACCAGTGACCCTTTTGGGGTCTACACACTTACCAGACCTTAAGAGAGCTGGTGGAGAAGAGATGACTGCATCAGGTGAGCTGGCCATTTCAAATTGTTGACTCTAATCACAAGCGTCGCAGGCTAAACTACAGCAATTTTCAAAACTGTTTAGTGAAGGTTAGAAGCAATCAGCATTAGATTAATTGAAAGCAGTGTGAGTAGTTATTAACACGATGCACTGTGCAACTAAGGCAATAATTGAGGTTCATTATAATTTTATTTTCTCTTTTATGAGTTGAAAATTTGATTTTCTTTTCTTTGATAAATTACATTTGCTTATATGGATGAGGGAGGAAATATATAATATCCACTTATTAAAAATTACATAAGAGTAGTATCCTTTATTGAGCAGAGAAGTGATTATGCTACTATGTAACAATGCTCAGAACTTTGCAGTAGCATCAGATTAGTCCAAGTTTCAAAGCTCAATTTACATACTCTTCCAAAAGTAACAACAATCAGGTTGAATGGTTTTAATGACACAGGAAGTCAATGATTCACTCAAGAAACTTTATAGTCTACACTTTACAGTTACCGGAAGAATCTGAAACCTCTACTAATTTGGAGGAATGACTTCAAATGGTATCTCTTATTCTATGACGTAAACATATAGGAACATTCCACATTTATACTATGCACTTAACTACTTTGCACATGAAACTGGATTTAAGTGACTGCATTCAACAATAGTTAAATAAAATTTGAAAATGTTTTCTCAGTTAAAAAGAGAAGGTAGGTTTTCAAAGTTTACTGTTATGTCATGCAGGAAATAAAGACTGGAGAAGAAAAATGAACCCTATGTGCTTATTAAAGGAAAAGAGAAATTGCTGTAAAAATATAAGTTGAGGGCAGAACTCAGTTCCCTGTAAGAAAACTTCAGTTACTCTCTTTGACCAGATATTATCAATCCAATAACATTTTTTATAGCCCAGATAGACACATTGTTAGTGGTCAACTCAAATATGACACAAAAATTTGAAGAAAAAGTGTGAAATAAAAATATATGTGACTATTCCAAGTAACTGTATTGACTCTAACACATACTAAGGACTACTTTTTGAAAAATTCTCTCATACTTTTGTGGTAGTTTTGCTCTTTTGCTATAATCCTGAGTAAATAAATGCAGAACTTTTTTTAAAGGTTTAAAAAAATCAGCAACAAAGATTGGGTGAATTTCTCCTGTATGGTTTATGAAATTAGATACTTCATTCAAATTTTGCACAACAGACAACTAAGAACTTCATAAATGGGAAAAGTCCAAAACATAATGGGGGCATACTAGCTGAGGGGAAAAAAAAAAACAACTCAATATCAACGCAAATGCAAAGAGAGTTTTCCTATTGCTAAGCTTTTCCACGTTCTTACGTTAGCATCTCCCAACACTGACATATAGTAACATCAGTGCTTTAAAAGGGAAGAGTCTTAGTTGAAGACTTGTCATTCCACCATGGTTCCTGTTTACAGGCACACTTTTAGCTCAAGATTGTACCCAGCCAGCCAGGAATAAGGGAAGTTTCAATCCTGGCTCTGAGGAGAGTTAGCAGCCACAAGCGCTAACTTCAAAGTCGTGACTTTGCAATTTGAGCAAGTCAGTTGAGGACACTTGAGCTGTTATAACTGCCCGCGCAGCGTCTTCTGACCTCGGAGGCCTCGGGTTTGGGAGCCACAACTGGGAACCACGCGTCCAGAGGCCATTTGCCCAGGGACGGGCCCGCTTCCTTCTGAGCCCTAACTGTGCTCAATGTGACCCCCTTCGTGGCTTGAGGCCTTGTCCCTCTCGATTTCTGCCACATAGATAACTGGCTAGGGCTCAGAACTTAGGAGGAACGTAAAAGGGAGATATGAAATAAGGCAACGAGCAGCCGCTGGTTTTCCAGGACCAGATCATAGTCATATTCAACAAGGAAGCTACCTGATTTTTGAGGAGGAACACAGAGGGAGAACACACTCTCTTCCCCAGGAATGTGGCCGCCGTCTGATTTCTAAGAAGGAAAACTCCGGAAGAAGACGGCACCACTACCAACTTTCTAGGGGGGAACACACACGGAATAAAGTTGGGGTCACCGCCTAATTGCTAGAGGTGTGGGGACACATCAGGAGGAAGGCCGGGGCCGCCGCCTGCTTTCTAAGGCGAAACACGCGGGCACAGCTTGGTTCCAGGACCCCCACCAGCCTCCGGCCCAAGGCGCTTGAGGGGGAGCACCACCCAAGGTGCAGGGGAAAGGGGTGGCGCCCCAGCCAGCCAAACCTGAGCGCTTGGTCCTGGCTCTTCGCTCCAAGACCTTCCAGCTAGCTTCGGCCACGATGCCCGCCGTCCCCGCCATCCCGCTCTGGCCACCGCCCCCGGGGCCGCCTGTCAGCAACGCCGGCCGGCCCCGCCCCCCCCCGCGCGACACTGTCGGGAGGCGCGCCGGCCGGAAGTGAGCGCGAGGGCGCTCTTCAGCCTAGCTCTGCGGCCTCCCCAGCGTCAGAGGGGCAGCCCTCGGGGCGAGAGAGCGGGCAGCCGGCGGCGGCACTTACGGGCGTGGGGCTGCGCGCTTTCTTTCTCGGCCGGCGGCACGGTGCTTTCCGGCTGCCGTCAAGCGCGGCAGCGGGCCGCGGGCGGGGGTCCAGGGGCTGCCATGGCGGCGGCGGGCGGGCTGCCGAGTTCCTGGGTGCTGCTGGCGCCGCTGCTTGGGGGCCTCGCGCTGCTGGGAGTCGGGCCGGTCCCCGCGCGGGCGCTGCACAACGTCACGGCCGAGCTCTTTGGGGCCGAGGCCTGGGGCACCCTGGCGGCCTTCGGAGACCTGAACTCTGACAAGCAGACGGACCTCTTCGTGCTGCGGGAAAGTCAGTGCTTGCCCGGCCCTCCCTCTGTCCGCTGTCCCTGTGCCCCTCCCGATGTTCCCCACACCCCTTGCCCGGATGGCCGGTCCTCCTGCATTTCCCGGCCCTTCTCTCCCAGCCCGCGTCTCTCCCTTTATCTCCAGCATCCTTGACAGCTTGTCCGTTTTTCCATCTTTTCCAACGCCAGGTCCTGGCCCGGCCACCCCACAGTTTGACCCACCCCCCTAAAAGCCATGGAAACACCCCAGTTTTTTTCCCGAGAAGCCGTAAGCCTTCATCCACGCACCCCTTCCTCCCCATAGGATCACCTGCCCTCGAGAGTCCTTCCTGGTTCCCAGGAGTCTTTGTAGCTTGCCTCTTCGTTCCCTCCCAAGGTCCCTTCATTCCCTACCTCTTGACTTGCTCCAGTTTTCCTTCCCCATTGATGAACTGCAAAAGGTGCCTCTTGACAGTATTTTCTCATAGACTTCCCCTTGCCTCATCTACCTAATTCACCCCCTCCCCTGGTTGTCAGGGTCCCAGCTTTCTCTAAAGGTGCTGTGCCCTCCCAATGCCCTGAACACTCCACAGCTCACACAAGCATTTTGCAGGGACCACTGATAAACACAATGCCTCCTTGGGAAAGGATTCTCAAACTGCAGATTCTTCTCTTTTCTAAGCTGACTAGTCTTTTGCGTGCTCCTGACCCTTTCTAGCTTTTGTCACCGCCCTAGTCGTGCAGATCTCTGCTTTGTTTGCCAACTTGTGGTTCTGGAGAGTTCCTTGCCCTAACCGTCACTAAACAAAGTTTTTTGTAAATCTTGATGCTGACGATGGGCTTAAAGGGTGTGTTTAAGGTCAGAAGCGGTGTACTATTTAAGGTCAAGGCGGTGAAGGAAGGAAGTGATGTGCTTATGCAGATTTCTTGGGGCCCTTGCCTGGACCACAGAGCCTCTTGTGGATCTTGGGTATTTTTCCTGTGTTGGTATGACCCCTTGTATTGCAAGAAGAGTGCATACTGCCAAACTTGTAGCTACTCCATCCAAACTGGATACAGAGACTCTCCTCTTAACTTTAAAGATGGCTTGTGTTTGCTTAAACAATTTCAGAAGCCTGTCCCAGTGAGCACTTATTGTGCTCCAAAAATGCATCAACCTGGGGAATGGTTCCACAGAAGCCACAAGAGGAAGGTCTTGGAGGATTCAGGTTTTTCTGGTTAAATACATAATCATGTCCTTGTTACTAGTCAGATACCTACAGTAGGAGTTCCTGCGTCCTTGGTGTGATGCATTTGTGTGGTGAACTAAACAGCCTTATGAAGGGCTGCGTTCTTAGGTTTGGGGAAGGCTTGACATACAATGTAGTTATAAGGTATGTCCTTTATATGGTTCTTTTAAGTCAACTGGCAGAATCTGTTGGCTTGAATTTGTCTTGACCTATTACATTTTCATGTTCATCCTTCCTGTTTCTCTGCTGCTTTGAACGTTGAATTTGTGATAGACTGTTAAGAATCCCCATTCCACAGATTAGTAGGACTAATCTTGAGAGGGCAGATGAACTGGAGTAAAATAAAACTTTTCTTGTTGAGAAAGGTGCCCGGAAAGCTTCTTGTAACCACTGATTGGATATCTTACGGGGAAACATTTTTTATAATATCATATATTTGCTTTTTTTAGGAAATGATTTAGTCATCTTTTTGGCAGACCAGAATGCACCCTATTTTAAACCCAAAGTAAAGGTATCCTTGAAGTAAGTATGAATATGTTTGTTTCTGTAAAACAGTAGGCATTAGTGTAATAATGGATATGCAGTAGCTAGTAGGATTGTCTTTGAAAGCAGTTTTACTCAACTGTGGTGTTGACACAAAACCACTAGTTATGAGGTATGAGTAGCAAGTAATTTGTTAGGAAAAATAGTGAATATGCCAAAGTTTTAAAGTGATTTACTTTTTGCAAATGTAAATAAATTTGAGTGGATCCAGATCTGTTCCCGCATAAACACTCTTTCTTCCCTTGCAACCTGATATGCTTTCTTGAATGTGTTGGGATTGTCCCTCATCCTGAGTGTGCCTGTGGGAGCAGCTCACTCACAGCCTCATCAGGTCAACTGTGTGTTTTGTAAGAAGTGGGGGGAAGTAGTTTGCCAGTGAGGGGAAAGGTCAGTGACCTCTTCTAATTTTTTGTTTGTTTATTCACTGATAGATGGTGAGTTTTTAAGGTTGATTTTGAAGACATTTAAATCAAGCTGAGTTTTTTAAATGTTCAAATAATAGTTCTTCTTTTTCTTGTACATGACTGGCATTGCATTAAACACAGTGATCCCCATCAATAGTGAGCAGTACAGTTTTGAACCTGCAAGAAGCAAGTATTGATTGCTCTCTGGTTCGAGGAAGAAGAGATGACTCAGTGCAGACTAAAGTGGCAGCTTTTAGAAAGTCATGGAACTTGAGCTTGACCTTAAAATAAGTGAAATTTAGATGAGGGCTTTCAAGTTTGGGATACAGCATTAACAAGAGATGGCAGTAAAAACAGTATGTTGTGAAGAGGAGGCAGAAAGATTTGCCGGACACAAGTGGGGGGTACACTTTGGAGAGTTATGGTCTAAGAAGATGAGATCAGCACCAACTAGGAACCTTTGTAAATATCAGAAAGAGTTTAAACTCAATCCCATAAGAAGTAGGGAATCTTACAGGGTCTTGTTTAAAAAAGAGATGATGAAAATGGTATTTTAAGTTGGTTTACTTGTTAACCGTGTGGAGGATGAATTGGTATGTAGAAAGATCAGAGATTGCTTAGGAAACCGTTTAAAAAATTTTTGAAGCCCCCAGTGAGGTAATGAGTGCTCAGATTCTACGATATTTAATTTAACTTCAGACATATGTAAAAAAAAATTGGCTTTGAGTTAGAACATTGAGAGGAAAGTTATAAATGGATACACAGGAACTTATCCCTCTTGAGGTATGTTGCTGGGTACTGAATGTCAGCGTGCTTGGAGTAGAGAGGGAGCAGAAGTTGATAAATATTATATACAAGAAATGAACTGCCTAGAAGTGAGTTTTCTTGGAAGATTAAAAGTTAAGGAAATTTATGGGATATAAAGGACTTGAGTTCCACTAAGTTAAAAAAATAAAACCTGATTAATTTCATTTTCTTTGATTAATGCAATGTTGTTTTATACACTTAAATTTTAGAAACTATTGTTTTTATTTTATTTATTTAGAATATTTTTCAAAGTGAAAATAACTATTCTTCACCTTTCTCTCCCCTCACTTCCCTGTTCCTCTTTCAGATGCAACCGCTTTTAAAACTTTTAGCTGTTTCTTCTGGTGTTTATTTCCATATTTTAAAATAAGTTTTTATACTGTAATTTCTTAGTTATCATCTTCATCTCTTGAATTTTTTTGGCATAAATAAGGATTTAGCATCTATTTAGCTCGATCATCTTGATTTAGTTATGTCATTTTTTTTTTTAATAATTTTTTTATTTATTTATTTTTCCCCCCAAAGCCCCAGTAGATAGTTGCATGTCATAGCTGCACATCCTTCTAGTTGCTGTATGTGGGACGCGGCCTCAGTGTGGCCAGAGAAGCGGTGCGTCGGTGCGCACCCGGGATCCGAACCCGGGCCGCCAGCAGCAGAGCGCGCGCACTTAACCGCTAAGCCACGGGGCCGGCCCGTTATGTCATATTTTTTAGTTGAATCAGTAATCATTGCTTACATTTTGACCATGTAGATTCTGTGTACTTCAGAACCAAGCAGTATACAGTATTTCATTTCTGTACAGTTTTTCCCTTCTGGAGTAAATGATCGCTTTTTGAAAAATAAACTGCCTAGTTTTCTGTGTACTATCCTTAACTTCTTTGCAGATGTTCCATCATATCTGCCATATAGCTGCTGTGCATTTTTGTTTTCCCCGTTAAGTCCTCTGCACTCCTACCCAATCTGGATTCATTCTCTAGGCCTTCTGCAAAGTTACTATTTGGGGGCTTGCCCTTTGCTGTTCTTTGATCCCTGTGTCTTGGGTCCTGTGCCATTCTGTTCTTCGCTTCTTCATTTACTTCACTGGAGTGCATCCTTCAGTAAATTCCTGAGAAAGGATGCACTGTATGTCCCTCCATGTCCAAAAGCTTTTTCCACTCACCCTTAATATTTTGGTTGGCCTGTAGTCTTCTAGCTTCATGGGTTGCTGTTTTAAAATCCAATGCTATTCTTTCTCCTAATCCTTCAAATGTGACTTGTTTTTTTTTTTAATTTTGGAAGCTATTAGAGTATCTTGTTTATCTCTTTTGCTCTGAAATTCCATGATAATCTGTCTTGGTGTAGATTATTTTTCATTTATTACAGTGGGCATTAGGTGGGCCCCTTCAAGCTGGAGGCTTCTATCCTTGGGTGCTTTTTAAAATGTTCTTATATTATTTCTTTGAAACTTTTTTTACTCTCTTTCAGTAATTCCTATCAGTTGGTTATTGGACTGCCTGGGTCCATTCTTCATTTCTTTATTTTATTTATGTTTTTGTCGTTTGGTTTTGTTTTCCTTTCTGGGAGGTTTTCTCAATTTTATCTTAAGTTTTCTATTGGATTTTTTATGTTAGCTGTCATATTTTTTATGTCCAGAAAGTTTCCTTTGTTCTCTTACTGTTCTTTTCTCTTTGCATGAGGTTCTTTTTTTTTTTTTTATGGACATACTTTTTTACATCTTCAAGTGTAATTTTGAAGTTTTTTTCTGTTCCTTCTATAATCTCTGTTTTCTTCAGTAATTTATTGCTATTTGTTTTAGCACTCTTTAGTATTCACAGTTTTCTTCAAAATGCAGATGTCTATTCATATTTAACGTTTGAGTAAGATACTAAAGAGCTAATTGGAAACTCTTTGCATGGTGGGACTTGTCTCCTGTCTCTTGCCCTGTGGGTGTGTTCCTGGCTGACTGGCATCCTAGGAATAGGGTAGAGCTAGTGGCAAGGGTCAAACTGTTTCTTGTGCAGACTTTCCATTAACTCCTTGTTTTTAGCTTAAGGCCAAAACCTTACCCTCTGCTGTAACTTAAATCTCTAATGCCTGAAATTACTCAGAAGTAAACTTCTCAGTTCTTGCCTTGCTGAGCAAGAGGGAGAAGGGACCATCACTCACAATACAGACTTAAATTAAACCCATTTTCAGCCTTGTGCCTCACTCTTGTCTTCCACTGTTTCTGAGGAGCAACTTCTGAGCCTTTCCGGGGTTCTTCAGGGCAAAAAGCTTTCCTTCTTGAGCCTTTGTCTTCTGGCACTTTAGCTTATGGTTTCCTTGCCCTGCTAAGTCAATTAACATCCCTCCATCTGCTATCTCCTTTCATATCTTTGTGTCTTTGAGGGTTATACTTCTTTTTTTGAATTCATTCTATATCATTTTAGTGGCTTCTTTGAAAGAAGAGATAAATGCATGTGTCAATCTGATGTTTTTAAATGTTCTACTTCCTATTTTTACAACCATAAAGAAGCTGGGCAATTGTGGGAATAAAACCTGGTTAGTTTAAGTTCCTATCTAATCCTTTGTAATAAATTCCTATCAATTTCAGGGTACTTTCTGCCCCCAAATCATAAATGTTTTTGGACAAGTATTACTGCCGAGTACGTACAGTTGTATTACTGTACATCCATACATGTACACGTACACATGCAGAGGCAAGCACATTAAGTATAGCTTGCTACATAGTAGTCTGTGTGATTGCTATATCATCATTTTTAAAGTCCAAGTATTTTTCATGGAAAGGTTAAAGTACTGTTGGAATTCTTTGAAGAAACTGACATTACTAAAAATATTTTATTGTTATGAGGATCAGTTTTAGTGGCCGACACAACTGAATTTGAATTCTAGCTATTCCATTTAACTAGCTGTTTAACACAAGAAGCTACTTAATCACTCCAAACCTCAGTTTCCTAGTCTGTTCAATGAGAATAACAATATCTATTTCAGGTGATGAAGATTAAATTATCAGATAATAGCTATTAAGCACTTGATGTAATATCTGGGACATAGTAAGTAGATGCATTATAATAAAGCTATTATTATTGTTTTTCTTCACTATTAACCTTTTCAGTATTTTCTTCATTTTCATTTGAAATAAAACATATACATATATACACACATATTTATATTCTCAATTCCATTTAGGAAATAATTATCTATAGTCTATGTGGAAACTTGCTGTGTTGATATTTGCTCTAAGCAGAATTAAATATAAATGGAATTTAAGGCCTATTTTTTGGTTGGATCACTCAGACAACATTATGACAAGACTTTAGGATGTTTTTTGTTAAGTTTTCAAAGTTCATAATTTTAGGATTGTTTTATTGTTAAAAACGTAAAATTTGGAGGGTCGGCCCAGTGGAATAGTGGTTAAGTTCGTGCACTCAGCTTCAGCGGCCCGAGGTTCACAGGTTCAAACCCCAGGCGTGGACCTACACACTGCTCATCAAGCCATGATGTGGCAGCATCCCACATATAAAATAGAGGAAGATGGGTACAGATGTTAGCTTAGGGCTAATCTTCCTCAGGAAAAAGAGGAAGATTGGCAACGGATGTTAGCTCAGGGCCAGTCTGCCTCACCAAAAACAAAAAAGCAATATTTGTTATGTATGATTTGATAGTATATTGCCAGGTTTGGTAAAAAGAACTTAGTTTCCATTGTGAATCTTGAGCAGCTTCCAGAAATAAAATGTTTAGTTTTCACTGTAATTTTCGAATCTGCATTAAAATCCAAAATTAAATATTGTATAAACATCGTTTAACTTAAAATGACAGTGAGACTCCTTGCTGCTTTGGTGATTGGTTATGAGCCTCCATTTGTTATAAATGCTATCCCAATGTCCTGGTACCCTTGACAAAAGGGCTAAGTAAAAGGGCAGTATGAGCCAATGCTTGAACGTAAAACTCAGCTTTCTCTGGATGTATAGTTGAGATTTTTCTTGTTTCTTAAGACTCCTCGGCATTCATCCTGAGTTCTTTTGTAGACCAAAGAAGCCTACATACATAAAGAATGATAAGCTATTAAGGAAGAAAATGAAATTAATCAGTTCTGTGAAATTTTAAATCCTCCATTGAAGATATTTTTGTATAGTACAAATATAGAGGCATCCTTTTTCATCATAGCATGACTGGGTATCTTAAAATGCTTGTTTCTTCTAGGACTCACAGTGCACTGATAACAAGTGTAGTCCCAGGGGATTATGACGGAGATTCACAAATGGATGTCCTTCTGACGTATTTTCCCCAAAATCATGAGAAGAATGAATTAGGAGCTGTTATCTTCTGGGGACGAAACCAAACATTAGGTGAATTTATTTTAAGAATTTTTAATATTCATCATTGGATATTAAAGGAAAAACATGCTGGGTATTCTTAGGTAAATGTAACAAAAATATTCTTCTGAAATCAATTCAAAAATGCAATTTTTGAGTATCAGTAATTGTCTGTACAAACTTCTTTAAAAGTTCATTTTCTGAGTTTTACTTTTCAACCCAGAACTGGTCTTGGGTCAGTTCCAGAGATCCAAATCCACTCTTGCTAGGTTAAGGGAGAGAGAGATTTATTAAAGGATTTTTATGGCTTGCAGAATTATTGTGATGGCCGAAGAAAAGACTCTAGGTTGAACCTTCAGGAACGATCCCCATAGCCTTCAAGGAAGCCACTGCCTTTTTATTATCAGAAAGTGGCCAGTTGTGCAACAACTGCTAGAATGACACTGTGCCTGCTGTGATTCTCACTGCAAAATGGAGGCCCTGCACCCTGCCTCTTGATGCTCACAAATTCAGCAATCAGACATTGAAATAGAAGTGGCAGAAGCACAGCCTTCACTCTCTCCTGAGTTCTAAAACTCACAGTGTTGCTGATTGGAAGGCTTACATTTTATTCAGAATCTCAGATGAAAAGATATCTGAGAAATGCTATTTTTGGTTTCTAGTCTCCCCAGTACAGGAAAGCACAAAAACGTTAGAGTGGAGGTTGAGAGTCAGTCTACCATATCCATTCACAAACCTTCATGTCTTATCTGAGAAGCATAATAATTGTACCTAAATAGACAACTTTGTTCATGGAGCCAGATTTCAAGGCCAGAATGGGGTGGGGGGTTGGGAGGGTGCATAGACATTTTAGAGTCAAGTAGGTTTCTGTATATTGGCTTCTGTACACCAAAACCTTAATTGTCAACTGCTTTAGTGCTAAATTGAATATAAAGAAAACTCACCTAAGTGATTTTTAGATTGACGATTCAAAAGGAAGTTATCGTAATGCTAGTCTTCACTGTAGAATGAGCTCTCCCAATATATTATCTTTACAAACTTGATGTCCATTTAAGTTAGATTTATAGTATCTCATTGATGGTAATAGTTGGAATTAATTAGAAAGGAATCTTGAAAAGAATAAAGGAATATTTTTCCCTAAGTGTTGATTTAAAAAATAATATAAAATGCCTGCTAATTTGTATATTTTTTTCTTTACAGATCCTAACAATATGACCATACTCAATAGGACTTTTCAAGATGAACCACTAATTATGGAGTAAGTATGTGCTTACTTCGGTTTGAATGATTTTAAACTTACAAACATAAAATAAAATCTTTCACATAAGAAACTACTTTACTAAGACAGTAAATTCATTCTCACTTTAAAACTCATACTCTTGATTATTTGATATTTGCCTTGATGGAGGATAGAGAAAACTGAAATTCAGTATTTTGGAAAGAGAAAGCGATGTGTGTTTTTATTTTGTTTCAGTAGCTTTGAATGTGTCCATTATGGGTCTGTTTGAGTCCAGCCATGTTATTACTCAGAGAATTAAGATAACTCTTTTTGGGTAAAACTATTAGTACTTGATTAACAGATGTGAAGGGTACAGGGTTTCCTCCAGAGATTTAGAAAGGTTTCTACATTAAGGAGAAGCTTCTGTGTTTTTTTTTTCAACTCTTCCTTAGTGTTATCATTTATTTCCTCAAAATAGACTCATGTACCAGGATAAATTTAATCCAAATTTCTCTCAGGATTTTTGGTAATGAGGTAGAGATCATTTTTGAGACTAAAGCAATGTACAGCCACATTCTTAACTTCCAGTGCTGCCTTTCATATAGTTACTAAAATCATAGTCATACTTCACTACGTCAATGGCCATTAGAAGTCTAAACTATAAATCCATGGATTAATCTTCTTCAAGGCGTTCAGCTTGATTTCTTTCATAGTTGGGTTTTTTTTTCATTGTTGTTACAATATTCAAATTCAAATGTGACTTTTTATACCAGCTAGGGATTATTTTTGTGGGTTATTTTTCTAAGCACATTTAACTAAACAAGTTGGGTTATGATTCTGAAATAAGTACTGTCTTCTTATTACTCAGGGATGGGCTAGGGTATGCAGAGATTATAGACAACCCCAAAATCCCACAACAAAAGTTTATTTCTTGCTTACACCACATGTCCAGTGCGGGTGGTCAGTGATAGGCTCTGCTCTGTGCCATCACTCAGAGAGTCAGGCTGTTAGAGGCCCCATCATCTGTGGAGCGGGACCATCTGAAACACATACTCTTCGCGTTACCATGGCAAGCTTTAAGAGGGCTGGAGGGTCCAGTAACAAAAATTAAACACTTTGGCCCAGAAGTGTCACTTCTGGTGACATTTGACTACAACAGGTTTGGTGAGCATTGTAATGTCTATCACACCTCCCAAAAGTTATTTTTCTTTTAAAGCTAAGTTAGAAAGGAGAATTTAATAAAATAGCTGCTTAATGTTTTTAATGTTTTCTTTTCAGCTTCAATGGTGATTTAATTCCTGATGTATTTGGTGTCACAAATGAATCCGACCAGCCACAGATACTATTAGGAGGGTGAGTAAATATGATTATAACCGTGTAATTAATTGTACATATTGCTGGTGCAAGGACTATGTGTCTGTGTGAACTGACTGCTTTAACCATTCGGAAAAAACCCAGCTCATTGGAAATCTTTGTTGTTAAAGATTTTTAAAAGGACATTTGATTGACATATAAGCTTTCTCAAATAGTTGGATTTGATCTATAACTGCTTTCCATGTAGAGCAAATTTAATCCCTTTATCCCTCTGGAAATTAGAGATACAAACTTTACAGGTCCCCATTTAAATATTAGTATTTTCATTAGATGTTTTTAGAAATGGAACGATTTAATTTAAATAGGATGAATAGCTGAGTCTTGGATAGATTTTCCACCTTAGTTATGTTAGCTCCCACACTTTTTTGATAAGCCTTGTTCCTTCTTTCCTTTATTTGTTCAGTGAGCAATCACTAATTCCCTGAAAATGTAAACACTCCTTCTCTAAGCTCTGGAAACTTTTCCGTGTATACTTTATCCTTGACCGGTATGTGCTAGGACTCTCTTATTATCCAAGCGTGCCATTCTTAGGAAAAACTACCCGGAATCTTGAATTCAAAGAGCTCCATTATAATTCCTCCATATTTAAATAGAACTGTCCTCTTAACACAAGAATTCTTGATAGCAAGATACTTTTCATGAGATACCTTCAACTTGGTTAATTTTCTCTGTATGATAAGGCAAAAATTTAGTTTAAGAGTACAGAACACATTTATGGACTTTTTTGACTTTCTAGCAAGTATAGAGAACCACCTTCATCAGTCTGTCTTCCCCAGGTACTTGAAAATCTAGTGAATTTTCCTTCTGTTTTTTGGAGAAGTAGCGTACTTGTGTGATTCGTTTTTGAAATGTGATTCACAGGCACACAGATGAGTAAATTGTCAAAATTAAGGTGTTAGGTGGAGAAACTGTCACATTTCCTATTACTTTTTCTGAAGGTTTTCAATAAAGAATATGGGTGTTTTGATGCTAGTCATGGTGACCTCTGAAAGACTTATTGTGAATCTTTAGTAAGAAACCTGTTTTTTCCCCAAACTTGGAACGATATCTGGAGGAGGCCCCTGCTTTAGAGACCAAGTGGGTGGAGATCCTACCTGGCCTTTGTGGTGGTTTCTAGGGGGACCTGAGTGTGGGTGGGCTCAGGAAGCGCACAGGCCACTCCTACAAGGGCAAGCCTGCTCATTTTCGGGACTCCGGAAACCCTGTCCTTTCCTTTCCTGTCCTCAAAGGCAGTCTTGTGATTGGGAATGTGATGGTGACTTGTGGCCTGGTTGATTTCGTGTTAACCTCCATTTTAGTCAAAGAAATACTTGGAATATCTTGAATATGATGTAGTTTGACCTTTAGAAATTAAAACTTGTGAAACAACTATTGTTGATAATTCAAAAAGTAAAACTTCTAATATCTTTATGGATTTTCTACTTAATTTACAAGAAAACTAGAATATCATGTGATAGTGTCATAGCTTATTTACTTGTTTTGAATTCTATGTTAGATGTTTTTCTCTGATTCTTCTTAAAAAACTCCAGCTTTTGAAATTTATTCTGCCTAAAGACGTGTTCACTTTTATTTTTAATACGTTATACTTTGGTATACTTAAGTATACTGGAGTATTACTTTGGTATTTTATGATATTTCTCATGTAAACTTCAGTTACAAATTAAGCAATAGTAGCTAACCATATTGTAAGTAACAAGTTTGTGTCCAAAATATGTCCTGATGCCACTTTAAAGAAAGAAATTAGAAAAACTGATAGAAAAGAATAATAGCATTGTTCGGATGACTGTAGCCTAGTGTAGGGGAGGATGACAATTCCTCTACCCTCTACCCAGTCCTTCTGGTTGGTCTAAGAATTAAATTGACATGAGATAGAATAACAGGAAAAAATAAAACAAAGTTTAATAACGTGTTCATGGGAGACACCCAGGAAAACTGAGTAACTCACCAGACTGGCTGAAGCCTCCACCTTAAATACCATCTTCAGCTGAAGACAAAGGAGGATGTTGAAGATAGTGGTTTGGGACTTCAAAGGAGAGGAAGACCATTTACATAAAGAAAGAAATGTAAATATTTGATAAACAAGTGTTTGCTGGGCTATCTATAGACAATGTGACCCGAGAGACAGAACTTTGATAAAAATAGGCTTGCTGGTGCCTTTCTGTCTATCATACCTATTTTATGTTATACTATAGTTATCTTATGGTATTAGTTCCTTCCTGGAACAGGCCTTCTATCTTACATTCTTTTAGGCAGTTAGGGGGAATGTCAAAGTTTCTTTCAGAGTCTTTTGTTCTTAAAAGTAATCAAGCCAAAGAGACACATTTTGGGGTGGCCAATTCTGATCCCCCACACTAGCAATATCACCATTTAGACTACAGAAAGCTGAATATTTCCTTATGGGAGCAAGCATTAATATGTTACTAAAATAAGAAAATTATATTTAGGCTATACCAGTTTTATAAGTTACAGACATATGCCATATGAAAAAGCCATCAGCGTTGACATTTTTGACTAGTCATGTCACCTCTGATTAGCAACCCAATCTTATTTATCAAGAAATCTAACCTACCTTTTACAACTTAAATATTATGCTTTATGGGTATACCAGACCCAAGATTGTCTTAAATTTAATTAAATTTGGCCAGTACCTTAATTTTATGGGAAATTTGCAACGATCTTTAAATAGAGTGCTAAATGGCCTCATAGGATTGTGCTGGAAAGCCCATGGGTGTAATTTTGCCCCGTGCAGGCATGGAAATAGGAGATTGCCCACAAGTAAAACTAGCATGAATGGTTCGGCTGGAGTAAAGGTGCAGATGGTCCGTCTAAGCAGGCAATGGTAATAGGCAGAAGAATCCCTTTTAACTGGTACAGTGGGGGTTATCTGACGGCGACAGGAAGGGTGCTAAATCTACTGAGGTGCCAGAGATAATTGAAGGGTGTCAAATGGTCAAAGGTGAGACTTCAGTTTGTGCCTGAACCTCACGTTATAATGACGTGAAAGAATATAATAATGCGCCACATTACTTAGAAATAACACCTAGCTATTAAGTGTTAGAACAGCTTTTGCAGTGACATGAGGTTATAGTTAATGAACATTTTCTATAAAAGGATGTTTGAAACAGATGTTGCATAAGCATTCAGAATATTGTTTTTAGTATTGAAATGAAAACTTGTACCTGTAATTTTAATCAAAGCCAAATGTAATATTGGTCTGCTCAGATTTTTTATGACTCATATACTGAGTTCAAACACAGTTCTGGGTCAGGCCCAAGTTGTATACTTGAGAATATTAATGTAGGTATGTGACAGATAAATACTTTGCCGTACTCTGTTTACTTCATAAGTGATTGCATGAAAATTTTGAATGTAATATTAATGGCACTGAAAGCACTCATTTTTAACTCTTAGTTACATGGGTGGGTATTTTTCTTCCATTACCAGAAAAAACTATGCCTTCTATTTAAATATAGTTAGCTACTCTTGATCCAGAAGGAATACATCTGTTTTTTCATGTAACCTTCTGTCTTTTCTCACATTATAACCAATGATTGATTTATTAAATCACCCTTCATTTTTACTGCTGATTTTGTTTGCATTACAGAAAATATTGCAGATATCTATCTTAATGAAATATGATATTGTAACACTTAAATCTATTGTTTAGAAAAAACATGAAAATTTTGATGAAATTTATAACACAAAAGAAAACCAAATAGTCATCAAGGCAGCTTTTACCTTTGTAATCAGCATTAGTACTCATAATCTTAACAAAGAAAGGCGGCTTTGAGATGGTTCATATTTTCTTAGATTTCTACTAGCAACCCCTCCCTTCTCACGTTGTACACCACTTGTGCTTTGAACATTGTTGTCTAAAGGAATCTGTTAGAACTTGAGAAATAAGTTTTTTACTGGTGTTTCCATAGAAACAGTGCATCAGTTTTCTAACTTTTCTCTTTTCCTAAAGAAACATTGCTATTGGAGATAAATTCATTTACTCTCCCATTGTTGCTCACCTAAGCCTTTTTGTTTTCAAAATTAAGCCACAGAAATAGTGAAAAGCTTTAGCAGATGACTAAAATTGTATGTGCTGTGATTATTTCAAGTGGCATGTTACTCATTGGGGAAGAGGGAGAATTCCCTTCCGCCCTTTCCTTTAAGGTTCTTATGGCTGGCCAAATAATTAAAAGACAGGTTAGCAGGAGAAAAGAATACCAAGTTTAATAACATGTATACATGGGAGAAACCAGGGAAACTGAGTTTCTCAACAAAATGGCCGAGATTCTCATCTTAAATACTATCTTCAGCTAAAGACAAAGGAGGATGTTGGAGGTGGGGGAGGAGAAGGCTATATGGGGGATTACTGGAAAGCACAACAATCAAGGGTATGTAGATTTAAGTCCTCTCATTCCTTACTGAAAAGAGTTTCCAGAGATAAGGCCATCCCCCCCTCTTCAAAGTACATGGAGGGAGATACCTTTACAAATGTAAATGTTTGGTAAACAGAACTTGGATAAGAATGGGCTTAGCAATGACCCTGCCAGTCTGTCCATACCCAGAGTTAAATTCCTTTAGGCAGTTAGTGGGGGAGGTCGAATGTCCATCAGAGAAAATAATTAAGGTAAAGAGATATATTTTGGGGTGGCCAAATTTTGATCACCCACATTACTTAAGGATCTATAATTTTATTTCCTGGAGTCCCACCAGAAGCTTTTGAGGGGTCAGTTAAATGACCCACAATTCCCTGGTGATTTATCATACTGCTTTGTGTTAGGTTCTGGTTGGCAGTGCTATATGTATGTGAACTTTTGTTTGTTTCTAAGTGAATGATTTAAGATGTTATTCTCAAAGTTTACTCACTTTGCTTTTAGTGAAATCTTAAAATTTTTAGATATGTATTCTTTTCAGTAATCTTTCAGAAAGATAATCATCCTCTTTTGAGAAAAGCATAGTTTTATAATTTCTGTGCAAAGAAATTT